GAAATGACTGATGCGAATATCTTGTGAATACCATCGTACATTTCAAAGGCTTCTAGCAAAATTTAGCCGATAGTAAGACTTTAAGACAGAATAGTCGCATGAAATTACCATTATTGATATCAGGTATATGTAAATAATTAAGTGTTCTTACCTATAAGGGTTATCTGGAATAGCAGCTATCAGCCCTCGCCAATTTTTATTGGTGTCTAAGACATCTAAGAAAGTTTGTAATTTTAACTGAATATTGTATGGGATATCACAGATGTTCAAATGTACGCTGACACCCGACATGATGGCAAATGAAGTTCAACGCAGATAAGTGATTTCTGAAAGATAGAAATAATTATTTTTATTATATCAGCAAATTATCATACATTTATACATACTTCAAATACAAACTATACACTCCATTTCATGAAAGCATGAATATTTTTTATATAATGTATTTATTGAATTTTTAATAAACTTCAAATGACAGAAAAACAACTTGACCAATCACAATGTCTTAGCTGATACATTCCATCATTATTAAGTATATCCGTTTCACCACCAGAATTTCACGCCCAAATATTTTTTGTACTTTTTTCTTATATTTTTCATATTTCTGAGAATGAACCCTAATTTGGAGTCAATAGAAAAAATTTGAGTCAATTTTCAGCTTTTACTCCAAACAATTGGCTATTTTTGCCCCAATCTTTTGAAGGAAAGTGCAGACTATAAACAGGACTACTTTGTGATGAAAAGAGAGAACTGGTGGTGAAAAGGTTTAATATCTTGCAAGTTAAGGATTGGAAGAACCCTTGCAAAGATTCATGGGTAATATTCATTACCACATGGCATTGATAGTATTGAAAGAATCTTCTTTGGATATGAGTGTCCTCCAGTAAATTTTTAATGAATATTTTATCAATTTCCATAAAAGGCGTCAGGCCCTAATAAGCAGCCTCTCGGCTGAGTTAGCTCTGTTGTTGGCATTTCACTTAAAGAACTGAAGATATCATTAGAAAATGAACAATATGTAAAGTATCAAAGCAGTCAGACTTGCTGTTTTCAACAAGAAGTTGAAAATATAACTTTTTACCAAAACTGACAAAAATATTCATCAAAATCAGGGAATTGAAGATATCATCATGAAATGAACAAATCTGAGAGAGGTACATATACACCAAGTATCAAAGCAAGAAGAATTGTAGTTTTCAAAAAGAAGTCGAAGAAGTAAAAAGTTGACATGGATGACGGATGCCAAACAATCACTCATATGATAAGTCAACAGCGGAGCTAATGAAGTACAGTGTATAGTAGTGTATTATAGTTTAATCTTGGTCGTGAAAACTTCATGACAGATTTGACCAATTCCCACAGAAAGTCTCAATAACAAATCACTTCCCCTTTTATGTCTCTATAAGACAAATCAATGAGAATCAAATCAAATCATCATCCATGGTTCCTATTACAGGATATAATTCAAAAGTATTCTGTTATCTCTAGATTAAGTTTGGAATATATTAATAATAATAATAATAATAATAATAATAATAATAATAATAATAATAATAATAATAATAATAATAATAATAATAATAATAATAATAATAATAATAATAATATAAATATGTGAGTGAATCTAACTACTGAATGGCATAGTAAATTTGCACACTCATGCACTGTCTGTCTAACCTTTTCACCACCAGTTCCCTTTTCATCAAAATTTACAACATAGTCCCATTTATACATGATGAGGACAAAAACAGCCAAATTTCTTTGAGTAAAAACTGTTAATTGACTAAAATTGACTCAGAAATATTGAAGAATACATGTATAAGAAAATAGTGCAGAAAAATTTGGACGAGGAAGTCTGGTGGTGAATACAACTTCAATGATCTTGTTCTCAATAAAGTAATTCTGTGAATGAAAATATGGGACTATTCTTTTCAAATCGATGATGTGAATGAGTCCTATACAAACCTGATAAATTTTATACAAATATGAAAACTGGCACACTGAGTATATGTTTGATGCTGATAAAGTGAGCATTGGTTGACCTTTCATGCATAACTTTCATTATACAATTTAAAAGTCAATTTGCCGTCACAAACACAAAACCTATATGCACTAGTTAGGCCAGACTTTTTTTATTCTTTGTTTCTCGAGTTTTCATAAGTAAATTTTTTTCAGAAGGGCGGAAAAAAATAAAATTAATTCTTTTTTTCTATTAGATTTGTGTGATTCTCAAAGAATTGTAAGTGAAATCATTGATCGGAGAGAAGAAATGAAATAAAATTTTATTCCATGTATAACCTGGTTGGCAATGTCGCCAATGGTGGCACAATTTTTAGCATTAATGAGGGATTTCTCGGTTTTTGACGACAGAGTTTCACAACGTGTCACCACAAACCATGTCGCCGCCATGTTTGACTAGTAGTCTCAAGCAGCACGCAGAAAGGTCAATATTCGTGATTCGCTGTCAACCAACGCGCATAAAGTATATATCTGCGCAAGACTTCGTTCCTTTGATCATGATACTCCCATGAAAATGCAAGTTTAATTTGATAGGTGGCGAGTGGAAAATTTTTTTTTTGCACTCACAAGTCGGCGGGCGTGAGAATTCACGCTGAAATAAAATTTTATTTTTATTTCATTTTCGGCTCCTGTTCATTCGATGGGTTCGCGAGACAAAGATAATAAAAGTCTGGCCTTACATTGAATTCAGAATTACGAATGATTGCACTATACAAGCCAGATTTAATAATAAAAGGACAACGGCAGTCGCACAGTGAGTGTTCAAATTTCATGTAAACAAACAATATATTTTACACAGGTTGTGTTGTCGCTATGAATCCCATACCTTCCTATAACACAGTTTCAGCCAAATTCAAATTTTTAACTAGGGTAACAACACAAATAAACAATACAATATGGGAGAAAACTATTATACTACCGACACAACAAACCTGTTACCTTTATCTTTGTAAATATTTATAGAGGTTTATTATTGGCTGATTGAATAACATTTTAAAATGACGTTGTGCACTGTATTTATTCGTGTGGTTGGATGCTGAAGTCAATACATGGACATCTATGGGGTGGATTAAATTTGTTTTAATTCTTTAATTTCTATTATTTTGAGCAAGGGTAAGGTCCTGTACCGTGACATAGTCGAAGTACGGTCCACTGAAGCTGCCCCATGACTTCAGTAACCAACCACACGAATACTATGAAACCAAGGGAACTAGCTACGGTTCCGTCGCTCACTTGTGTAACAGAAAACGGTTTTTAACTACTTTTAACTTATACTCACCCGAAGTCAGTGGATCACGTTCACCATTGTGCAGTAAAATGAAGATCTCGATACAACAACCAATTCCTAAGGTTACAATCCCGGAAGTTTCGACAAATCAGTTAGTGAGTTACTGACAGACTTTGCTCACCTTCTAATGACAATGCGTAAAAATTAGTTACAAGTATTATTTAACGATCATCTACCGTTTCTAAATAGTCATGAATCGTACTTCCAAGACATTATGAACCCTATTATGAAAAACGTTTCCGGGTTTATTCAAAATGGTAATCCCCGTGACGTCACTTGAGAAACATTCGCCTTCCCATAGTTCCTTTCGCGATATTGAAAAAAAAACAATTTTGCGTGGTCGACACCCAGTCCAGTGTAGTGGTTTAATGCTCAAATCGACTGTCTAGTCGAATTAAAAACACTAAATTTGCTTCCCTATAAAACTGTCACCGTCCAAACCCTTGATACAGAGAAAGAGTAGTTTACCATTGAGGGCGCTACCACTGACTGAGATTCAGTTTCCGAGTTAGCGGTGACCTTCAGGCTCATACCATGGCTCAAAAATGGGAAATCAACATGCCAGTAATCAACCACATGAAAAAAAAACATGCTGGCCAGCACAAACTCTTGCAAATCTCAGGTAAACAAGACACACATACTGTATTTAGATTGCACCTAGAGAAATCACTGGAAAAACACCAAGATTAGAACATCCAAATCCCGGGGGTCCGACTTAAAGAATGACCTGGTACGCATTTCTGTGAAAGAAAACTAGATAAAGGTGTGTTTTTTAAAGAAAAGCACGTTTAGGGTTACCATTTCAGTCAAAATAGACAAAAAGAGTGTCTTTTCCGGTACTGCAAACGTGATAAGGGTGGTTATTTTTTTAAATGATATTATCGTTTTTTTTTATTGCTTTAAGAAATTCAATGATCGCAAAAACGAGGAAAACGTCCGGCTCCCTGGTTAACGACCCTCGATCACGGGCGACCACGGCATATGACCAACCCGTGCTTACGTTGCAGGTGCAGCCAATGGAGCTGTTCATCGGAAAAGCTGTTCCAAGAGATTTTTGTTGAGGGCAGGGGATTTTTTCTATTTTTTGTAGGGGGCGGGAAATATCAGTACCCCTCAGTGGGCAGGGCCAGATGTCTTAAAAAATGCAAGGACAGGGAAACCTTTTTTTAGTGGGTAAGGTTCTTACATAAACAAACATCGCAGGGTGTGCAAAACAGCCTTTAGGGGAGGGGAAAGATGAATTTGGTCAGCAGGAGGGCAAGAAAGGCAAGTTGGCGTTAAAGGAGTAAGCAAAAAGGTGTTTGTTTTTTAATGAGGGGAGGGGAAGATGAATTTGGTCAGCAGGAGGGGAAGATAATTTGTTTTCAGGTGGAGGGCAGCTTATGAACAGCTTTTGATTTCCCCTTATTCCTTTATATTAATTAGCATACTTCAAAAGGCCCATAAAATAAATTTTGTCCCAGAGAATTGACTATTTCAATTTATTGCTCGTTGGCTGCAAAGCTCAAATATCGCGAGATCAGGCGCGAGTTCAAGGTACGTGATCTTTCAGCTTTCTAACAGTGAAAAGAGTACGAAATTTTGACCTTTTAAAACGTGTTTAGGGTCATTTTGAAAACCCCTTTCACAGACATCGGTTCCAGGTATTTCCACAAGTCGGACCCCCGGGATCCAAATACACACAGAATATAAAGGTACTCAGCCGCTAAATAGCAAAAGAAAACATCAATCCAAACAACATAATGACCTCAGTTTTTTTTATGTCACTTTTCATTCTCTAGATATTCAACTTTTCCTCAGTATTATGTTGTCAGCCATCTTGATTTTCAAGCAACGGATTATGGGTAAAGTATGACATCATAGAAATTGAGAAAATGATTTTGTTATTAGTGTGCATTGTGTTTGACTGAAAACAGCTATCTCTGTTAGTGTGTGGCAGGATAAAAGAAACGAAACATGAATAAAAATCAAACCGAAATAACGACCCGGACTTCATCTGACAAGAATATGCTGAATCCTACTGATCTTCACAAAATGTTCTATTGTGAATAGTCATTGCCGCTATAGTGGGTTATGAGAAAGACAGTATCAGATCTGACGAATGTATACATGCCATATTATATGCTAGGTTTTTGTACCACAGACAAGGCTTTGATTTGTGCATGCAGCTGTTTTTTATCACTTTTAATATTCAATATTGCTATCATACACTCTCGTATTATTTCTTATGAAACTTAAATTATTACATACAATTACAGCAGAATTTTATCGGAGCTGAACTATTGCCCCTCCTACCATACAACCATTGTATTTGAAAATGTGTTTATTCAACGCATATGTTGTATTACTGATGTAATTGGAGTGCATCAAAGGCCCATATTTGGGGCCACTATTATTGATTTTTATTTATAAATCTTCTGCCTACTCTTTTAGTAATTATAAAGTCACAGTGGTGGTGTATGCAGTTGACACAGCGCTTTTCTCGTCTGGAGATGCAACCAGTGTCAGAGATGAATATTAGCTAAGTAAAGGGGGGGTCATCACTTAATGGATTTACTATATGTCATCAACATATTTGTACTATGGTATTTAGGTGTTTTAATAGTCAGCTATTAAGAAGTATGTGTAAATTCACAATTATAACACTATGCATTCTGAATGTCAACATGTACGTCCAGCAAGAGCTAGTAACATTCGTAAATCAGTCGTGCATAGAGCAGTTTTTCCTGTACAATGGTCAGCAATTAGTCTGTTCATTTGCCTCGAAATTTTCACACATTATTGACAAGGTGTTCCCCCTTCAAAATGCGTCCGGACAGTTTATTACGGCGAGTGGAACAAAAATAACAAGTCCGCAATTAACATGGATATATAAATTATGCAAAAATAGAAAAGAGTGAACTTTGAGGTCATGCTGTGCGACTTTGAAAGCCGTTAGAGAGATGAGTGGACGCATTTGAATTAGTAGTATACCAAGGTATCCAGTGATGTAATTTTACCCACAAACGGACTTGAAGTTTTTGAGCTAATTTTTTTTAAACCACTTTTGTCCAAAAAAGCATATTTTTGACCCAAAATCAAAAACGCATTCTGGATATTTAAAATAAAGACAAGTTTTACAAAGTTTGTATAATAAGCTTTCAGAAAATATATAACATGCTGGATATATAATACCATCTTTATTGTCTAATTACTCAATTAAAAAGCAAGCCAAATAAACTGCATCTCTACCTTAAATCCGCCAAACAGTTCTTATTCGCTTTACCGCGAGCGTTGTCAGATACTGCAGACATTGCTGGCAATATTTTTCGTTCGACATGCTGATCCTGTGTGTTGTTGTCGTGTCGTCAGCTTCCAGTGTGGTGGTGTCGTCTGCATACGGTGTGGTTACGGTGGTGTCTTCATTTTCCGGTGTGGCGGAGCGGATTTCACTTGGGTTTTCACTCGGCATGTATGTTGCCGACTCGTCCGTAGTAAAAATCACGCTTTCTGCTATTCGGAATCGCTTGTCATTGGACCGTTTTTCCGTGCAATTTGTCAAAATTAACTTGGTTATTACAAAATAAATGAATAGTTTTATATAGTAGAGAAAAGCGATACGATGTTAATTAATTCAACTATCAGCAAACAGTGAGTGCATCCGGTCATTTGACCAAACGCGTACACGCGATAATAATTTGCGGGAGTATGAAATTACAAATGTTATTGTTTCGGGGCGTTACTTGTAAATTATCTTTTATTAAAAAAAAATCAAAACATGATATCATAAAACAAGGTCGTGTGGCTGCCGTGTGGCTGCCGTTTAATAAAAAGCAAAAAAAAATCACCACGAAAGTCTACTACATCCTTAATTAATGAATAACCTACTTCAGATCATGATTATATACGTTGTTTCCCAAACTTCGTTGCATTTTCCCGCAAAATATCCGTCGCATATCAAATATACGAGTATTATCCAAGCGAATTACCATGAAAAATAATAATAATCGTATCAAATAGGTTTTCAAACGAGTTGGAAGACGAGAAATTACTTTTATGCAAATTTGCCTCTCATTATGGCGCATCTGACAGACGCCGGGTCAATGGAACAGTTCAATTTTTTCACAAAAGATTCTCATCTAGTATACCAATAACTGTAAGTATCGCATTATTCGATAAACTTATTAAAAGACGGTAATCTTGAGTAGAATAAAAACAAACTGTAATTTATTCATAAATTGAAAAGTTTTTTCACTTTTGACTAAAATTTCACGAAAACAAAGGCTCGCACTGTGCAATCCGGACGCGGTCTAATTCCCAGTTTGCTGCTCAGTTTATAACAATAAACAGGATGTGTGCAACTTCAGTATGTTTTCCGTACGTCTGTTTTTGATGAAAAAAGGCTTATTTTCGAGGGAAACACGCATACACTTCACTCGTTTGATAAAAAATAACATTTCAACACAATTCACACATAGAGATAACTAAAAATAAAACATGTACGTAGTAAAATTCCATCTTCAATGTGAAATGCAGGTTTGAATATAAGCGCCCACGAACCTCGATCTCATCCTTAATACAATATCTAAACAAAAAAAAAGATAATATTTACGAACATTACTTCATTTTTTTACTATGCTCTACTATGCCAATGAATAACACCAATATTAAAATGTTAGTAAAAAGTTGAGCAGCTATTGAATCACACGACCAATCACAGAGTTGTATTATTAATCACATTGCACATTAATTGGATATCACCTTCTTCTCTTGCGCGCGGAGAGGCGTGATATCGTGGGACGCACCAATCACTACAGCGCGTCTCAACGGGCATCAATCATGAGGCCAAAACTTTTCCATGACGTCACAAATACGGGTTACCATAATAAATAACGCACGGGCCCGTAATAACAAGGAATAAAAAGAAAACTACATAGAATAAAAGAAACAGTAAAATTACCCTGGTTTCATGTGCCGATGGTACAAATGAATGGGGACACCCTAAAGTGCGTTCCTGCGTTCTTGCGTTCTTGCGTTCATGCGTTCCTAACTTTGTGATTGTGGCTAATAAAGATAATGTTAATACAGATTAAACCATTTTAGCCGCACAGAATTTCCCTTAGCATCATTGAATGGATATTGAATGGATGAAGTGCTTGTAAAATATATGCCTCAAACAATGTTGGCCTTGC